TATGCTCCATATAGCCTACCTGGCTTTGCAAGATGCTCGACTACTTCCAATGACCACCAGTGATGCTGGCTCTCTGAATTGCTTACTTTATGAGACACAAGATATTAGGCAACCGAAAGTGGTATGGAGGAGAGTTGAATACTATTCTCTGAGTATACAATTTTGACTTGTTTACCAGTGTCTCATGAAAATTTTGCAGACAATTTTATTTCTAATGGCTCCTTTTTCAATATAACTTTTATAACCAACAGTATGAACAAGATCCATTCTTCTCCTTGAAGTATTTAAACCTTTGCCCTTCATTTTAAGCATTTCAGATCTTAGGGTCCAAAAAAAACAAGATCTTGATTTGTTTTTGCATCAAAGTGACTGGTTCACTAGCAGCCCCTGGTCCCTCATGTGTAAAATAAGCAGTTTGGATTAATTGCTTACGAAGCTCCATTCCAGTTCTGAAGTTCATTTATTTTATGAAGACATGCTGTGCTCATGTATAGAAAGAGATACTGTTCCTGATGTTTCTTTTGTCATTATCTTGTCCTTGACCTTATCATATCTTTTAAAATGTGACATGGAGAATACCAGTACGCCCAGTACTACCAAAGCATTGTGTCTATGATTCAGTGGAAAACAACATTTAAAAGCTTGTTTTTGATTACTATGAGTTAGTGACTTTCTCCTGGACTCTTGGTTTTGTAACAGTGGGAGACCCACCCCACCCCACCATTCTTTGGATATTTCTGTTTGCTGATTCCAACTAAAATGTAGTTTGTAGATGAGCAATATGTTCATGTAAGAATCAAGAGGTAAATCTCCCACCTTTAGGCTTCCCAGCTCTGGGAGATTTGGTGACCTTCAACCATAAAACCAGGATGATGTAAAACTAGGATGGTGACAACCAGGAGGACACACACCAGACCATCGCTTGACCAGTTCCAAGGTCCTTATCAGGATGGACAATGCTCGTCTGCACGCAGAGAACTTTTCAACCCCCTCCTTTGATCTCCTTGTTCTGTTCCCCTCTGTGTCTTCATAAAAACCTCTGTCTGCACTGGGACATGGAGATGGGCTTTGGGACAAGAGTCCCCCATGTTCTCAAGAAACTGGCATCTGAGTAAACCGCTTTCCTTCTCACCAGCACCTGTCTCATGAGTTTGGTTTTCTTGGCTGCAAGCAGGCAGACCTGCATTCAGCCACATTTTCTTTAGTTGATAAAGATTTTCTTTGTGGATTATTAATATTGATTTTATAGTTAAAGGCTCTGTGATATTTTCTTCTATTTCCCCAAGTGAGAAAAATCTTCCTCAGTACCCTGAAATAGTCTCTGCTAGGTAGTTTTTTCTTTTCTTGTGATACACATGCTGTCCAAAATAGTTCTGAAAGTAGCTATTGATCCATTTTCAAAGTGAAGATATATTTCAAACCTGCTTTGGAAAAGATTTGGGATTTTTTTCTCTAGTATTCCTTTTTCCACTTTCTTTTATTCCTTCATTTTAACTCCTAGGCAATTTTGAGCTTCTCCAAAGAACAGGTTAAGAAGATAGTGGGGTGCGCCTCTCCCACATGTGTGAAAATGCATTCGCAGCTACACTGGCCACATGAGACGTCTACAGGAGAGGTGAAGACATGAAGTGATGCCTTTGGATCATAAGAATGATCTTCCAGTTCCTTAGATGGTTTCATTTGAAAGCTTATATCTAAATAAAATGCCCAATTTTGTCTTCCAATCCTTCAGAAAAATTTACATGGGGTACTTAAGCCTCAATTTAGAATAGATTATGACAGTATGATGTGAAAGTCATTCTATCATGAGCTATGGGTTTGAAATGTGGGTCCCTCTCAATGTCAAGGCCCTCTTAGGAAAAAGGAATGATGCGGTCTGTAATCACAGAACTTAAAGAGCCCATCCTCTGTTAGCTCTTGGTGGATTTGTGGTTCTGAAATCTTATGGGACAGCTGAAGATACTATAAGGAAGTGGTGTTTAAAAGACAAATTTAAACCAGTTTTTGTGTACAAATTAAAATAAAATAAAATGCAGTAAGAGACCAAAGGAAGGCAATGGAATGTACTCAAACAGATTTAATCATGCCTGAGGAAGGAGCATAGTCATGCATTCTTATTATAAATTGCAGGGGAAATAGCTATGGTGATAAAGATATTTAAATTTTTTAAAATGACCAAAAGTTAACCCAGGGGACAAGAAAACAACAAAAAATGAGATTGTAGGATTTTATTTTTGGAGCATTAGTTCATGAATAAGTTTTTTTAAAGAGATTTCAGTCATTTTTATAGCCTAAGGCATCAGCCACCATCTTGGGGAAGGACACACAGGCAGGAAACACCTCCTTCATGTGGATGCAGACAACTTGGCTTTCCTGACAAGCCACCACCAGCTTTGTAGGAGAACGCGGTGTTCTTCAAGGGCTGGTGTGACATAATGGGACTTGGTCTCAGAACTGTGTCATTTGATATACTGGGTGTATTTACATTTTAATTATATTTTCTTATTTCGAACTTTTAATAGTTAGCCATTCTGTCTTAAATGAAGCAAATGTTCTGAAGGAGACCATGAAAGTGTGTTTACAGCCCTTGAGATAACATAACAGATGGCATTTAAGATAAAAATTTTGGTCTATGTTGAAAAAACAAAGTATCTATCAGGCACTTTTCAAAGAAAAACATACACAAATCCTTTTCCAACTTTTCCTCCCTCTCTCCTGCCCTCTCTCTCTTTCTTCCACCCTTCTTTTTCTTTCTCTCATTGCTTTGATGTTATAACTTTCTGTTTAAAGTGTGGGATGCTTTATCTGTACTGTGAAAGCTTTTCTCACACTTCCCTTTCCACATTTTAATCTTACTTTTCTTATTCCTTTGCAGGGACAGTGACCAAGTTCCCCTTAAAAAAGGCTGAGATGCTTTTGTTAAATTAACTCAGAACTCCGCTTGCTGAAAACAGATACCCCTTTATTTCTTTCCCTTTTAGGTTAGAACTTTTCTTATTTTTTTAATTTTTTAAATTAAATTCATTAGGATGACATTGGTTAACAAGATTACATAGGTTTCAAGTGTACAGTTCCGCAATACATGGTCTATACTCTGCTTTGTGTGCCCGCCACCCACAGTCCGATCATCTTCCATAACTGTATATTTGGCCCCTCTATCTTTTACTACTCTCTACCCCCTCCCTCCAGTAAGGCAACCACCATCCTGGTATCTGATGCCTTTTTCTCTATGTTAGAAACTCTTCCAACCACAGATAACCTTGAAGACAGATCATGTGCATGACTTACTAATCACATGTCTAAGTTGAAGGCTCAAATAAAGCTAAATAAAGCCTCATGATACACATTAGGTATCATCAGTTAGGCATCAAATTTAAGGCTGGAGCTACCTGGAAAGTGTGATTTTTCCAAATATTATTTAATACGAGATAGGTATACTAACTTGGGTTTGTTTCTAGATTCTGAACACATTGTCCACAAGCACGTGTTTGGGCATAAAGAGACTTATTTCTGGAAAGACACACTTCTGGACCCTTTGCTCAGTGCAGAAGGAGGCAGCATGTTCTTGGCCCAGATGTGAGCAGATGTGAAATATTCCCCATGGCTCTCCCCAAATGTTATATTCTGCCTCTACCCACAGTGAAAAGTCAATGTAGCCTCAGAAAATAAATAATATTGATGTGAAGTTACTGTGACTTTGTTTTCTGACCTTTTACGAGACTTCCACATGAAGCTGCAAACAGGAGTTTAAAAGTGCATCACCCATCTTACGGTTAATTTTTCCGTGAGGGCAAAAGAACTAGCCAACTGCAAATGTTTTGCAAGTAAAATGAAAATGCATTGTACTGCATTGGTTTCCTGACCACATTGTTAAGACTGAGTCATATTTCCACATAATATTGTAGATTTGTGGTATTGATAGAAATAATAAGGGGAATAAAACATCTGGTACTCTGCTGAGATAGCAAATAATTTTAGTTTCGTAAAAAGATTTAAAACCACTGACTAAATGGTTGGACTTCATAAGGACAAGTAGAGTCTTTAATGTGATGTATACTGTTTTTTCATTCTTAATAAGAAATAGAATATACATCTCGGAGCTTCTCCAGGGCAAATAACTAGATATGTGCCAAATTCTAATACTTGTTGTACTTTCTGTTCCTAAAAGAACATTCCTTATTCGTAACATCCTGGGGAACATTAAATAATTATTGTGTTAGGCAAAAGAAAAGCAAATAAGCAAAACAAACCACAGGACGGAGACCTTCTTGGTGTTTCAAACCCTGCCCCTGCTCCAAAATACCCTGGGGATAGAGAGGCACGGAAGACAGTGGGTACGCGAATTTTTTAAGTAAATAAAAGTAAACGGGGCATGATGGGCTTTCCTTTCTGGAAAATTCCCTCAGTGCGTGACTTTTCGGACTTTGCATCTTTCCCATGTGCCAGCTGCAGGGCCCTGGCGCCTGCCTGCGCTGTTTCTCTTCCGCGGGAGAAGAGCGGTCAGCGATGAATTGGTGTGAAATGATGGCATGTGATCATTCTAGTTCGGGCCGTTAATAACCGGTTAAGCGACGTGCCCCTCCAACGGCGGTGCTCGTCGCCCCGAAGCAGTCTCTTTCGCCCCATGCCGTCCCCCACAACGTGCCCCAACTTCCTCCTCGCGTCTGAGCTGCTGCCCCAGCCCTGCTGCCCACAGACTGGCGAGCGTATTGTCCTCCTCAGCGCCGAGCAAGCCCAGGCCGGAGAGACCCGGATCAACGGGGGAAAGAAGCGCATTGGGGGGCGGGGGGGAATCAAATGCTTCTGCTCTGCAGAAAGAAGCCGTAGACAGAAGCTTCGCCCAGCCCCGCGCCTCCTGCGGACAGCGCGGCCCAGCCCCCGGCAGGTGCGGGGCGGCCCGGCGAGCAGAGAGTTAAAGGCATCATCGCAGCCATTAGAGGGAAAAGTTGCGGCGCGGCGAGCCCGGCGAGGTCCTCCGCCCGCCCCGGCCCGCTCCCCACTTCCCCGGCTGGCGAGGCGTGGAGGGAGGGCAGTGATCACGCAAGCTCGAGCCGCGGCTGACGTGGGCCGAGTCGCCAGGTAGCGGGGCGCAGCGGCCAGGCGGCGGAGACACTCCCGCGCTGCCAGCCGGCTCTGCGCGCCCAGGCTCGCGGAGCCGCGGCGGCCCGCGGCCCCCTTCGCCAGCGGCACCCCCTCTCCTGCAGCCAGTCCCGCCCAGCCAGCAGCAGGATGCGTGCGGCGTCGCGCCCGGGGCTCTGAAGCAGCCTCGGACTCCGCGGCTTTCCTTTCTTTTGGGGCTTTTTGGCTGTTGGCTACACTGATGTGACCCCCTCTCTCTATTTTGGAATGATGGGGATCTTTTTGGCGTATGTTGGATTTGTCTTCTTTTCTGTTTTATACGTGCAGCAAGGGCTTTCTTCTCAAGGTAAGTGTGTGCTCATTGGCAAATGTGCATTTGCTTGTGTCTGTGTGTGTGTGTGTGTGTGTGTGTGTGTGTGTGTGTGTGTGTATCCAGGCAGATGTGAGCTTCCCAGCAAGTAACAGTGGAATAGGGTTCTGTTCGGCGTTTTTATTTGAAGTTGATTAAATAGTAGGCATGCTAGATTCGGAAAGAAATCTATTTGGTGCCTGACAGGGAGGCAGGGGACTCGGAGAACAGACACACGGGAGTGCGTGTGTTGTGTGTGTGTTGTGTGTTGTGTGTGTGTGCATGCACAGGGTAACCACTCATGCATACATAATCGTCGCAAACAAACAGGGACTCTCCACGGTCAGTCCTCCTGTCCGTGGAGGCAGAATGGGTTTCGAGTTTCTTTTTTTTCTGGGTCCGTGTGACTTGGTTTGCGTGTGTGTTTATCAAAGGACAGGCGTCCCCGGGGACCCATAAAAAGGCATGGCTTGCATTCCAAGCAGCGGCGGCAGCCTGCTGAATCCAGTTGTTCGGGACTTCGCAGGCTGCAGGGCTCGCATTTCAGCACCATGAACAGATCTCAGCGCCACGGCCAGAGGACTGCATCGCTGCTCAGGCAGAAATGCCACCTCCTCCCTCGGGCTGGAACAAAAAGTCCTTTTCCCATCAGAATGTCTTCTCTGCGTCTCCCATTCGCTTTGAGTATAAATGCAGACCCCTCTCCACGGAGACCATTCAGGGTGTCATGCAGCCGTGAAAAGGGACAAGGATGGTGTCTCTCCTTAAAAAGTGGGGGAAATGTGCACCCACCCCAAGCCTGTCCTGCAGCCCCCCAGGGTCCTTCTCTCCATAAGCGTGCATTGCATCTGTGCACAACTGCCAGCCACAAACCTCTCAGTGCCACTTGTAGGGAACCATCGGCTCTTCCCAAAGTGTCCCTCAGACAACATAAGAACAGCCATCTGAAACATTCCATAGCAGACAAATGCCTCAGAGACAGGGAGCCTCTTAGCCGTGTGAGTTTTGCCAGGATTCCATGAATCTTGCAAACTAGCAGGGTCGGGGTTGGTAATGAAGAGAAGCAAAAAACCGCTCTAGTAGCTTCGCAACAACCTTTCATCTGAACAGAGTCCAGGTGTCTGATTCTTCCATCCCATGATGTCTGGCAATTTACAAGGCAGGGGCTTGGTAGGAATGCTCATGAAGTGAATGTGGAGAGGGAGAAATGTTTGCAGTGTAGGAAGTGTGCAACTTCTTTCAGTGCTGTGGTCTTTGAGTCACAGATGCTCATCATTTTGATATGTCAGGGAAGGTGCATTCTGACAGGTAATCATGATCTGTTCTCCATGACATCAAATATCCAGTTATCATAGATTGTTTAGAAACTTGGAGGCAAGAGCCTGTCCCCATACATCAACTTGACCGATTTGTCTAAAATGCACCCCACTGAGCCCCTCAGTAAATTTGGGGGAGTGCTGCAGTCTGACAAAAGGTTTGTTTTGCTTCTAACTGAGGAGCCTGGCTAAAGGGGGGGGGGAGTATTGGCAAGCTTGTTAGGCTTTCCATTATCCAGACTTGATCGACAACAAAGTGATTTAGACGCCACACCAAAAATAAGGCAGGAAGAGGCAAAGGAGAGGGGGAATGGGGAGCCAGGCGGAGTGCAGGATGTTATAGAGGGGGTTTTGTTTTTTATATTTTTTTTCAGTCCAAGAAAAATGTAGTGATCTCTCAAGGAAAGAAAGCTGGCGAGCATGGTGTGGACATCTAAAAGGATGCATTTCTGTTTCGCAGCAAAATTTACCGAGTTTCCACGCAACGTGACCGCGACCGAGGGGCAGAATGTGGAGATGTCGTGCGCCTTCCAGAGCGGCTCCGCCTCGGTGTACCTGGAGATCCAGTGGTGGTTCCTGCGGGGCCCCGAGGACCTGGAGCCGGCGGCCGAGGTGGCCGGTGCGCAGGTAGCGGATCGGAGTCGCGTGTTCCTGTTGCCCCCCGCATTTGTCCCCTGAGTCCTCTGGGTGTCCAGCCAGAGGTCTGCGGCCCAAGAAGGTTTCTGGGCTCCACTTGGAACCCGGCAGCCCGCTTGGCGCGGGTGAAGCTCAGGGACGCCAGGGAATGAGCTGGAATATGTCCTGGTGACTCTGGTTTGAAACCAAGTCTTGTCTGTCTGGTTGAAACCAGGACTGGCCTCCTCCTGTTAGTACAGGTTATTGTCAGGATGTCCGGGATGGCACTACAGTGTTGACTCCTCCCAGGACACTCGCTGTCCCGTCTCCCGGACCGTGGGGTGGGGGGGAGAATTTTGGGTGTCTCCAGCCCCCGCCCCCACATCTGAGATTGGCAGAGGAGATTAGTGAGAGTGGGGAGAGACCGAGGGGGAGAGAGGCGAAGGGGATGGGGGAAGAGAGGGAAGGAGCGGGGAACAGGGGCAAGGAGGAGGGGGGACAGTAGGAGAGAGGGCCCGGTGGAGGAGAAAGGGGTGAGAAGGGAGTGAACGCGGGTCTGGAGGCCGCTGGAAGGGTTGGGGATGCGGGGTGGAGGGTACGGGTGGAAGGGGGAAGGGGAGGAGATGGGGAGGAGGGGCGGAGACAGGAGGAGCAGAAGGAAAAGGAGGAGGGGGTAGAAGACAGGAAGGGAAAAGGGGGTGAGAGCACAGATTGGAGACAGAGTTCAGCAAAAGAGGCGGCAGACGGGTTGGGGCCGCTGGGGCGAGAAAAAGAGTCTGTTCGTGACACCCCCGGGAAGGGACGCAGTCCGGGCAAAGACGGCGAGTCTGGTCCCCGCAAACTTCCACGCACACGCGCGCCCGCGCTGCAGTCCCCGCCCTCCCCACGTCCCTCCCTCCCGGGCACCGCGAGTCCCAGTCGCAGCCGAACACGCGCAACCGGGCAGCGCCCCCGCGCGGCGGGCCCGCGCTCCTCTTCTCTGCCAAATCCGCTCCAGCCACTGACATGCTTCCGCCACGACCTGCGCCGCGCTGCGGGTCGGAGCTGGAGCCGGCCGGTCCCGGGGCTGAGCTTTCGTCTCCTCCCGCAGGTGGAGCTCGTGCCCGAGCGAGACCCCGACAACGACGGGACGAAGATCAGTGTGAGTATCCCAGGGCCCGGCGACAGGGGGCGCGCGCCTTTGTCCGCGGCACTCAGGCCCACGGTGAAAATCGAGGCGTTTTAGGTGTCGAACTTATTATGGCCCTCTTGTTAAGCCTTTTAACTTATCGGCCCTGAAAAGGCAATTTTACAAAAGCCGGTCGAGAGCCAGTGCGTAAAAACCGAAGCCGATTTAGAGTTGGTACAATGAAATTATTTATTGTATTCACATAAATATTTAATCAGTTACTAGAGAATAATCTTGCCATCACAAGAGGTGACACCCTTTTTTTTTTTTTTTTTTTGCTTTTTAACAGTTACATCACTGTAAGAGTAAAGAGCGGAATACTGCTCTCCATTCAAAATTATGGAAATAATTATCCTTTAATAGGGAGTAAAACACTAACATGAAATCCTATAAATATAAAACCAAAAGCCAATATAAACATAAAAACATAACTGAAGAGGTTAACCTAATTAAAATATAGAGATGTATTTCTACTTTACTAGTTATTATTTTTCATAACTGTGTGAAATTAAAAAATAAAATAAAAATCATTTTTTATTCTACCTTAATGAAGCCACACAGAATCATTTTATATTAATAGAAATGCTTAATTTTCTATTAAGCATGTGCTTAATTTGCTGGTAAATAGTAAAGAAGTTTTCATTACTAGAAGTGAAATAATTATATAATATGAAATGAGGTCAGCTAATCATAAATATACATTAGATATTATGTATTATATATATTAAGAGTTTGAAAATCCAATGACCCACATTTAAAAAGGAAATTTATTCTGAGGCTTTACAGTAGCAGAAAGAGGTATAAGGTGGAGTTACATCACAACTAACAGTATAAACATATTGTACTAATAAAATCAAATTCTATCATCTAAATGTATAATCTCAAAATGGAAGAAAATGTCAAACAAATAAATGATGTAAAGCAGAAATTCCAATTTATATTTATATATAAACTCACTGATTTTTTAGGCTGTTTCAATTATTCTTATATCACAGAAACTGTTGTTTTCAGACAGCGATGGAAAAGCTTTGGTCAGACCAATTATTGACAATATTTTCTCATAAATACTTCGTTTTTCATACATACGTGTGTTTAGATAGGTCGTTTATCGATGACTCATCTCTCACTTGCAATACCCCCAAAGACCAGTGATGAAAACGGCTGCCACGCCCTGACCGAGGGACGCTACACAGTCAGATCCAAACGCTGGATACCACTGCTAACAGTGTTATCTCTGCCAATTCATAGAGTCTAGCAAACGGTAAAGAGATCTAGACACAGATTGAGATAGAAAGTAATTTGTTCCCAGCTTACCGAGTGACCTTGAATGTATGTCCTAAACCAGCAGCTGTTGGCTTAGATTCTCAGGAGAGTTTTTATGAAACACTGAATTGAGTTCTGCCCCGTGGAGATGCAGACCCAGTGTCCACACTGCTCCACGCCAGAGTGTGTTCTCACAGCGCCTCAGAAGAGCCCAGCTCCCTGCGGCCGGTGTTGAGAGTCGCCAACCAAAGCCCCACCCCCCAAGGCTTCAGATTACTCTACTATAAAATGGGATAATAATGAGTACTCAGACTTATGGAGACTGAGGACTTATTAGAAGCTATTCATCTCCATTATTTTTGTAGTATTGCTATCTATGTAATTTTCCATCCAATACATACTTTATGTAATAAACAGGTGAACACTTTGCAAGTTATCTTAATTATTTATGGATATTTGAAAGTGTGACAGCCAGTAGCAGAATAAATTTCTGTCTCTTTCACTTCTTTGCTCCTTCAACATCATCCGAGTCCTTAAATCCTGAATGTCTCATGAAATTCGTCATCATTCAGCCAATCATTGATAATATATAACGTATTTCAAATCTAGCTGTTTTGATGAAGATGCTAATGGATATATATTACATATTATTATACATATGTGTAATTTTGCCATTAATATGGCCTAAAATTACTGGAAGAAATAAGAGCCATTTTCAATTTTGGAAAATCAAAGCCTTATTCAAGTTCCAATAGCACACAGACCCTGTAATGGCAAGGAGTAGGTCATGAGAGCCACAAGACTTCGGGTGATGTTAATTGGCACCCTGAGCCATGACATCCCATGACTATAGGTTAGAGTGTACCAAAAACTTGAGAATAAAACTCTTTAACATCTCACTGTAATTTTGTCAGTGCCTTCAATAGTCATTGCAGTGTGGGGATAATAGCACATTCTCAGGTAATCTCACCATTGATCACAACCACCCACAAAACATTTTCGTGACCTCTCAGAGTTGGAGCCCAAAGTGAAGAACAGAGGCTGCGTAAACGCTAGACTTGGCCTCGTGCTTCCTTCCGCTGAGCTAACCAGGCAGAGGCAACCCCATGATAGGAAAAGCACAGAGCCATTCCCAGAACCTGCCATTCCGTGTGGCTCACAGAATGTGGCGCTGGTTGGATTGCACTACTATGCCACGCTTGGTGAAGCCAGGTGGAATAGACTAGGATAAATGAGACCTTGGCATTTCACCACTGACACCCTAGGAGCGAGCTCTCTGGCTGTGGCCATGAAGACTCTTTCACTTTCCAACATGAGGAAGCTCAGGGCAAAGTACGGGGACACCATCATTTGATGTAGCTCTTCGTTTTGTTTCTTTTTTTTACCTGCAATCTTTCAGACAGTGAAAGTCCAAGGCAATGACATCTCCCACAAGCTGCAGATCTCCAAAGTAAGGAAAAAGGATGAAGGCTTATACGAGTGCAGGGTGACCGACGCCAATTACGGAGAGCTGCAAGAACACAAGGCTCAGGCCTACCTGAAGGTCAACGCCAACAGCCACGCGCGCAGGATGCAGGCCTTCGAAGCCTCGCCCATGTGGCTGCAAGACATGAAGCCTCGAAAGAATGTCTCCGCAGCTGCCCCCAGCAGCAGCGTCCAAGGCTCTGCCAACCAGCGGACGGCCCCCACCTCCAGCCCTCAAGCGGTAGCCAAAATCCCCAAACAAAGTCCACAATCAGGTATGGAAACCCATTTTGAGCCTTTCATTTTACCACTCACCAAACCCTCCTAAGGACCATTGGTCAAATAGAGTAGACAGGTTGTAACGCCAGAGACCTGGCTCCGCCAAAATAATGAGGTGAGACGCAGAGAGCCTGGGGCTGGCCTTTGCCCAGGGGTCACCAGGCCTTTAGTGGCTGGCAGTGCTCCCTGGTCAGGGGATCTCAGGGCCAGACTTCTTTTCTCCCTTCTGTATTTACACATTTTAAGAGCAATAAATCATGTCATGTTGGTCGCATTATAAGTGCATGTTCGTTTTCTCTACAGATTTATGTCTCGAAAATGACCCAAATTAAGAGGTTTCACTTCCTCAAAATGTAAATGAAAGACACATTTTCAGCGACCCATAGCTTTAAGCAGGACTAGTCTCCAAGGGCTTCTTCGCGCTTTGGAAGGAGACGTCAGCTGCCTGTGATGAAAGTGATGATGATAATGGCAGGAAGTGGCACAGAGATAAGACAACTCCTGTAAATGTGCCTCCGATGCCGATCGAGAAGCTTAGTCACGCATTTCCCAAGTCAGCTGTGCAAGTTAAAGCCCTTCTGAATAGCATTAATTTATGCAATCATTCCGCCTGGAAACTCACTGAAGTTTCAACCTTGGTGCGGGATAAAGGCTTCTTGGAAGAAGCAGTACCTCACACAACCCTCGAATGCTCTGTATTTCACTCCCGCACTTAGTGCGATACTACAGGATGGAAGGGGCATAAAAATATCGATCGTTCTTGAAGGTTTTCCCTTTGCAGTTTGTCATCGAAACATTATTGCTACGAGTACTGGTCATAGAAAATTACATTGCTAGCTTTCAAGGTCGCCTTAGCCATTAAACCTGGTCATTTCATCAGGGTAATTATATATATGTTATATATAATTCTATATCTAGTATGTATATATTCTTACATCTTATCTTAGTTGTACCTTTAAATCCTGTCTTGTGAACCATGCTTTTAAAATACCGTGTGCCGACCTAGGTTCCCTCCTCATGCTTCCCGCACTAAGAGGCATGTTTCTAGGGAGCTCGACTGAGGTCCTTGGGGAGTTTGCACCGCCTTGCAGTGCAGGCCAGCACCTGCCTCTGCAGGCCTCAGTCACGGCGATAACCTCGGTCTGATGCATAGGTGATCTGCCCTCTCGAAAGCTCAGTTTGCTTGGCTTCATCTCATTTTCTTCTTTGTCGTCTCCTTTGTTTCCCAAATTAAAGAACAAAACCATACCTAGAGTATACACATGTGCTTACGTATGTACTTACACCTCTGCATGTACGCGTATAGCACACACCTGTACATGCACTTAATGGTGATAATCTGCACATTCATTATTTGATAAAGATCTCGTCTCTTTGGAGACACTGCTCATCTCTCTTCTGCGCTATCAACAGAAGCACCTACACAAAATTACAAAGCAGCCTCAGCAGGCAGTTTACAGCCTAATTAGAGAAAACACCAAAATCATGGAAGTGAAATTATTAGCCCCTGTAGAATATTTCACACCAGCTATCAGAAATCCATGCTGTGGAATAAAATCAAACATTTTATTACCCAGTCCAATGGAGGATTCTGAGCATGGAATTAAATGTTCTATTTCTAAACGATTTACTTTTGATTATGTAATATACTCTACAGATACCTGTTTTACTTTGATACATATTTTTTAGCACTGGGATCAGAGCTAACTGGTAAAAGCTAGTGATCTTCTAACAGTTTTCAAACAGAAATCCCTGCTCAATTTCCACCCCACTCTTGGGCTCACTCACTCACTGGGAAGGAAGGAATGCTGGCTCATGGAAGCCTACATTCACCAAAAGCCTACATTCACTAAGCAGCATCTGCTTAGAGCAAAGATTAGTCTGAAATATATCAGAATGTTTCAGGTCTGTTTTTTCTACCAGTGAATACTGGAAAGCACTCTCTACACACGTGACATTTTCTGACTTCTGGTACAGACGCTGGGGAGGCCCGGCCACCCATCCTACTCACGTGCAGGTTCCCACGCTTTTGCACAGCTGTTTCATAGCATACAGTACCTGGGATGGACATTTATCTATTACACTCACAGTGATACCCACATCCTCGCTTATACTTTTGCTTGATAGTTTTTCAGGTTATATTCAAATAAAGCTGATTTCAACACCCAGGCGTCATTTATTCACTCATTTGTTCCCTCTGCATTCACCCACGTTTCCAGTTCTGATTTCTTTCAGGGGAGCCAGGCTGAGATTCACTCTTGTCCCCCAACATTTCTCCACAGTTACATCCTATCAGCACTGTGGCGGGGTAGAGACATCTGCACAATGCTTGACACTCCTCCCATTGAGAGGCTTCCCCGCGGCCCCCTTTCTGGGCGGGCCCGTGACCACTGGACAAGAGGATATGAAGTGAGGCCATACTCATTCCAGACCAGGCTTTTTAGGGGACGGGCAGCTTCTGCTGTGGCCTCTTAGAAGCCAGAAACCATCTAATCAGTGTAGCCACCTTAAGGAGCGGTGAATCCCCAGCCCGCCAGCCTTTCACCTCAGCCCCAGCTGCTACTTCTCTGCATTGTGAGTGGTCCCAAGCTGGTGCTGCCCCCGAGCCAAGCCATGCACAGACTCCTGAGCCATACCAGCAAAGTGGTGTTTTCAGGCCCTCGGTTTTCTAGTGGGTTTTTTTTCATGGCAACACAATGCCAGGTCAGGCCCCTAAACCCAAATTGCCAAAACGGAATTTACTGGTGTTTTCACCAAAACACAAACGTTCTTTCTTGGGTGTTCTCAAATTCTTTGAATAACACCATCCCATTTTCAATGTGTGGAAACTTGAAATTGTGCTTATCATCTCTTCTCCACTCTATGGCCACAATGCCTCCATCATTGGTTCTATTGTGTCCTTTCAAACTGTCCTTGAACGGGGCGTCCTGTCTGTTTCGAGAGCACGGATCTACTTCCCAGCACGGCCCTCTTTGCTTTCTCCTCTGTCCCAGCGGCTCCTCGTAATGTGCCTGTCTCTGCTCTAACACAAGGGCCAGGTCATAGCAGAGCAGGTATTCCCTAATGCTGGTTGCAGGGCGCCTGCACTGCCTCTCCAGGTCCGGTTTGCAGCCCTGTTCCTCCTGAGTCCCCTCATCCTCACACATGCTCCTCCTAAGTGGTATTTCCTGGATGCTTTCTGATACCATCTTACTTCTGTGACTCTGGAAATGCTGGCTTTTTTTGTGTGGGTCATTCCCTATGGGCTGATGCGAATTCTTTTATATAGCTTTCTGCTATTGTCATAGTCAGAATTGATAGTCGTTTCATTCAGGTCCCAAAGCAACATGTTTGTGCCGACTTTGATACCATCCTGTGCCCTGTGGGCCTCTTTTCTCGGGACTCTCCTCCTCTGAGGACTAGAGTCCTATGTTCTCGGACCTTTCAGTGGCAGGCAGAGCAGCTTGTTGGTCTCCCTGGGGACAACTTCTTGGCTACAAACATTACAGCGTGCATGTGCATCTCCTTAAGTGCCCACAGCAAGCAGAGTTTGTCTGCAGGGAGAAAAGGGAAAGCGAGAAAAATGGTCCGTCTTTGTTTTTGTTTTCTTCTTCTTGTAATTATACTTACATAGATAGTATTGTCACTATCCCGAAATGGATCAAGGGGCCTCAACAGTGCTTCTCAAAGTGCGTAGTGCAAGTGACCTCTGCCAGATGCCAGTTGCAAAAATTCATCTTCCAGGACTTCATGCATGCAGCCCCTCTGGGATCAAAATTGGAGTCTAGAATCAGGAATAGGCATTTTTGCAAGCAGTAAATGATGAGAATCATTGACACTAAAAAGGTCTTATTGATGAGAAAAAAATTTTATCATTTACTGTGACTGTGTGTGTGTGTGTGTGTGAGAGAGAGAGAGAGATGCTGGTCTTTTGCCACGATTTTTTCCCCGCATACTGAGCTGGGCTTCAGCAAAGCTCTTCTGTTCGTGCCTGTGTTCAGCAGCTAGCGTTTGTGAGCACCGACCCTGGTTAAGGTGTAGTGATGTTTCCACGTGTGGAGTCTGTACGGAGTCGCTAGTCGCTCGGCGGGAATGCTGATTCTCTGAACTCCAAAACATGGTTATTGTGTTTCGACCGACCGTGCTGTGAGCTGAGCCCAAGAGGCAGCTGCTGTTCTCACTGCTAGAAGCTCCCCACCCCTGTGCTGCCGAGAAGCGTGGCAGCTCTCCAAAAGTGGCCAGATGTAGCAGAAATGATCTTCAGACAGAAGTCGAAGCTGCTGGAGAGAGAGGGGACGGGCTGAGGGGCTGGCAGCAGTGTTTTCCTGATCTAAAATACGAGGGAAACAGTGCTCCACATCGAGGTAGGGAGCCAGGCATGCAATTCAGACCTTAATGTTGATTTTGGTTTAAATGGTCCAACCCAGCTGCTTACACTGGTAAAATTAATTTTATCATTGCAATTCCATCAGTTAAATGGCTGCTATGTAAACCAAGGGTCTATGAGTAAGATGAAAAATAGATTTGAGGCAATGCTTGGGATAATACAGACCAGTGAATCTGCTAGAGATGTGTTTGAACTGGAATTATGTAAATTAATAGTCTCTATTAGCTAAGTTCTCCCACAAACCATATTTAACTTAACTCATTGAAATTCGGCACTAGCTGTAGACTGCAGGGCCTGCCAATGTGTGAAGGGCCACCCTGAGGTCCAGCTGTGATGACCAGGAGCTCTGTCACTGAGGAGGGACATGAGCAGCTTTGCCAATGTCCCAAGCTCCTGTCTCCAACAGCAACACAAAGCTGCCAGAGAAGCAGCTTTCTGGGTAGGTGACCAAAAGGTTGAGAAGTTGCTGCAGGGACCTCCCTTTGTCGATCATGGTGACACAGGTCCTAATAGCAAGGTGAGGGCTACTTCCCAAGGGACACTGCTGCCACTGAAAGCCCAGCATGGGAGCGTGCCTCAGGGCTGCAAAGAGCAGAGAGAAACAGGAAGATGTTGCTTTGACCCTCTGCC